GCCCTATCTCTAAATATAATCACACTGAGGGTTTGAGCTTCAACGTATAATTTTATACAAACAGTCCAGAGTACCCCTTCATGTCTGGTTTTATATAAATAAACTTTGGCTTTCTGGTACCTTTGTATGTTTTCCTTACTTGAAGTTCTTAAAACAGGGGACCTTCTGGTGCCATTCGCCCTTCACAAAGCAGGACGGCTACCCTGCAGAGTATTCACAGTGACACGCCTGATCGTAGCACTGACACTGATCCCACGTAGCTAGCATGCAGCACTAATTTCTAATTGTTCTCATTTCTGTGGACTATGATAAACATTCCTGGTCAGTATTGTCTAGTCCTTTTTTATTTTTAAGGGTTGGGTTTCAAATTTTTGTTTCATGCTTAGAATTATTGTGGCTTTTGGCAAAGAATATTTTAAACTGGGTGAAAGGCAAGAAAAAATGTGGATTCAAGAAGTGAAAGCACAATTGTTTACAGTTCAGTAAGCAATTGTGGTTAAGAAATGTGTCTGCTCATCATTACCAGATGACTTAAAATTTTATGGGGGAGCATACGTTTTAATCAAGAAGTAATTATGCTTTTTACAGGGTAAAGAAGTGAATTCTTCATAATTTAGATTTTATGTGTTATAATTTAGACCTATAGTTACAGCTTTATGAATTTTATTGTGAAATTATCTATGAAATGAATCTAATGGCAGCTTAAAATTTTTACTCAGAAACTAAAATTTTGATTTACCAAGCATAAATAATAATGCAATAATATAATTAATGAGACTCACTTATTGAATATTCACTGGAATGTAATAGGGAAATTTGCCAGGTATTTGGGAATTGATAAAACTAAGCATAGTTGTAACTTCTCAAAAAGAAAAGATAGGATAGATATCCTATATAATAAAAGGCTAATATGCAAGTTGACTGAACAGCAGAACAACCGGTCGCTATGACACACACTGACCAGCAGGGTGCAGATGCTCAATGCAGGAGCTGTCCCCTGGTGGTCAGTGTGCTCCCATAGTGGGAGCATCGCTCAGTCAGGAGCCTGGGCTCATGGCTGGCAAGCGAAACGGTGATGACAGGAGTCTCTCCTGCTTCCACAGTGGCACTAAGGATGTCTGACTGATAACTTGGACCCGTGGGGACCAGGCCTAAGCTATTAGTCAGACATCCCCCGAGGGCTCCCAGATTGCAAGAGGGCACAGGGTGGGCTGAGGGACCCCCCTGCCCAAGTGCATGAATTTTGTGCACTGGGCCTTTAGTGTACAAAAATATACAATTCACCTTTCAATGCATGTTAAAAACAAACAAACAAACAAAAAACAACAATTATACAGCCCTGACCAGTTTGGCTCAGTGGATAGAGTGTCAGCCTGCAGACTGAAAGGTTGCAGGTTCAATTCCAGTCAAGTGCACATACCTTGGTTGCGGGTACATCCCCAGTGGAAAGTGTGCAAGAGGCAGCTGATCAATGCTTTCTCTCTATCCCTCTCCCTTCCTCTCTGTAAAAATTCAATAAAAAAATATTTTTTTAAAAAAACAGTTATGGAGAGAAACCAAGATGGCGGCATAGGGTAGACACCCGAATGCAGCCTACCACAACAAATTTGAATTTAGAACTGGAAAACAGGAGGCATTGCCCTGAAGCGCCGGACGGCTAGCTGAGAGGAGGCTCTGCCATCTGGGAAGGAGAGAGAAGTCACACTGAACCTCAGGAACTGTGAAGGTACGAAGAACTGTGTGCACAAAAAGGCGCTGGCTTATTCCCGGCGCACGGAGAGGAAGGGCCAGACAGAGATTGCTGCTGGCTTACTCCTGGCGCAGGGAGAGGGAAGACAGCTAATGCACAGCTCGCTTTCTTGTTCGAGAGGAAAACAGAATCACCCTATTGCTCTGATAGACAGACAGGGAGAGGCCAGACTGTCAGGCAGTGAGCAGAGATCTCTCAGAGGTGTGTGAAGCCAGAGGCCATTACTGTGGGACTTGGGGAAGAGCCGAAGGGAAAACAAAGTTTATCTGCACCAACCTGAGAATCCACCCCATCTCTGGCTGAGCACAGAAGCTCTCCCAGAGGCTGGCTTTCTCTAAGGAGGGACTGGCCAGAATCCAAAGCTTGTATGCGCCTTTACCAAAGAGGTGCATGCTCCTGCAACCAAACTTCTGAAACTCTCCGCGAACAGGACTTTTCTAAGGTGAAACTGACAGGGAACCAAAGATTGTCTGCGCCACCCTGAGACCCCGCCCTATCCAAGCAGAGTACAGAAGCCCTCCTAGCTGAGACACTGCTGATCCTCACAGCCAATTGGCTTGGAGATCAACGCTTCCCAGTGATACCAACAATAAGCAAGGCTTAACAACAAGACTGCACACACAGCCCACAAAGGGCTACACTAAGACTGTCCACCGCAGGTAACTGGGAAGGCTGTGCTACTGGGCTCTACCAGAACACCTAGCACACAAAGCTATTCCATCAAATCAGGGAAACAACTAAAATGCAGACAAGAGGAAGGACACAAAGGAAGGAGGTGGAGGAAAAGAAAAGATTGGACATTGAATTCAAAACTACAGTTATAAGATTATTCAACAATATCCTAAAAGAGGCCGATAAAATAAATGAGACCTATGAGGATATGAAAAGGGAGCAACTAGAAATAATAAGGGATCAACTAGAAATGAAGAAAACATTGTCTGAAATAAAATAATATTATACAGAGTCCTTAAAACAGACTGGAAGATTGCAAGAATCAAGACAAAGATTTAGAACACAAAGAGCCAGAGGACATTCCTCTGCAGAAGGGAGAAGATAAGAGAATCCAGAAAGTTGAAGATAGTGTAAGAAACCTCTGGGACAATTTCAAGCGAACCAATATCAGAATTATGGGGATTCCAGAAGGAGAGAGAGCAAGATAGCGAAAGAATACTGGAAGAAATAGTGACAGAAAACTTCCCCCACCTGGTGAAAGAAATAGACTTACAAGTCCAGGAAGCCCGCAGAACCCCAAACAAAAGGAATCCAAGGAAGACCACACCAAAATTAAAATTCCAAGATCAAAAGACAAAGAATATTAAAAGCAGCAAGAAAAAAGCAGGTAGTTACCTATAAAGGAGCACCCATACGATTGTCAGCTGATTTCTCAACAGAAACCATGCAGGCCAGACGGGAATGGCAAGAAATATTCAAGGTGATGAATAGCAAGAACCTACAGCCAAAAATAATCTACCCAGCAAAGCTATCACTCAGAATCAAAGGACAGATAAAGAGCTTCACAAATAAAAAAAAGCTAAAAGAGTTCATCACCACCAAACCAGAATTATATGAATTGCTGAAGGGGGTTATTTAGAAAGAGGAAGAAGATAAAGATAAAAATTATGACCAACAAATACGTAACTATCAACAAGTGAATCTAAAAACCAAGGGAATTAAAAAATCTGATGAACAATATTAACTGGTGAATATAATAGAATCAGAGGTATGGAAGGGGAGTGGACTGATGGTTCTCGGGGAAAAGGGGAGTGGGGGTGCAGGAAGAGACTGAACAAAAACTGTGCACCTATGGATGAGGACAATGGGGGGTGGGGAAAGGGCAGAGGATGGGGTGGGAACCTGGTGGAGGGGAGCAATTGAGGAGAGGAAGAGGATCACATTTGTAATAATCTGAACAATAAAGATTTATTTTAAAAAAAACAGTTACGCAAACGGCACGTAGATAAAACCTCACTTGGATTTGATTTAGGAATGTATTGTTTGTGTTTTTTTGTTTTTGTTTTTGTTTTGTTTTGTTTTTTAGCACCAGGTGACTCACATTTAAATTGCATCCTCTGAACACTTGATGATTTGGCCTGAATGAGAGAAAACAGTATCAGTAGAACATACATTTTAAAGTAAGACAATGGATTAGCTTTTTGGGATATCTGTGAAGATAAAGAGAGACACAGTAATAATATAGAGAAAAAAATCCCAAATTGCTATGTGGTCAATATTTGGAAAATTAAATGGATCAACTTAACGTTTAGTACAACAGTATATTATGAAAATTTTCTCCCCTCTATATCCCTCCCACATTTGGTTCACTTGGTGCTTTCCTGTATAGCTTTCATTCATTTCTTGTATTGTATTTTTTGTGTAAGTATTCATGAAATTTGTCCTCACACTATATATTAATTCATCAACTAACCCACTTAGGAGGATTTCAGTTGATATATTTATGATTGGACCTTAGCTACCTATATACCTATATACTCTTGATGAGTGTGTTTAAAGGTTGTCAGGCTTTTTTATCTTTCTGAAGAACCATTATCAGATATGTCATTGGATATTCTCTCCCATTCTGTGAGTTGTCTTTTCATTTTGTTGATGGTTTTCTTTGCTGTGCAAAAACTTTTTAATTTGATATAATCCCATTTGTTTATTTTTATTTTCTTTCCCTTGCTTGTGGTAATATATTAGAAAAAATATTCCTGCAAGAAATGTTCAAGATTTTACTGCCTATGTTTTCTTCTAGGATTTTTATGCTTTTGAGTCAAACATTTAAATCTTTAATTCATTTTGAGTTTATTCTTGTGTATAGTGTAAGAAGGTGATCTAGTTTCTTTTCTTTCTATTTATTTTTTTTAACCAGTCATACTGCTTCATTTGAAAGTAGGAAATCGAAGCAGATAATGAGGTTGAGGGACTATATAAAAAAGTAGGATCAATGAGGTGCCCATACTTCCTGTGATGTGTGAAATAGTGGGTCTGTGTTTTCCGTATGCATAAGACTGTTTCTTTATGATAGAAATCTATACTTCATATTTCTTAAATGCAACATGCAGGCTGTTTTGAACTTTAAAAAAAAAGAGGAGCATGTTAGAGTCTGTTTTTATTCTGCAAAGTATACAGACCATTTTTTCCAGAGGAAGAAAACGATCTGAACGTGTTTCTTTAGTCATGTCCCTTTATTTATGCTTGAACCATGTCTTTTAGACTTTATTTTTCCTTTTGCTTTTTCTTTCCCTTCCAGGTAGCAGATCTGGTGTGTTAATTGTGAAGATTCTAGAGCTGCATGAAGAGTGCACCATCCAGGTTGCCATGTGTGAGCAGTTAGTGGGACTGCAGGCTGACGGCTCCTCTCCAGGGGAGGCCCCGGGAACTGGCCTGAAGGTTCTCTTCACCAAGGAGACGGCACACTATCTCCGGGGGCAGCCCCAGGACATCATCCACATCTACCCTCCCTGGTGAGTGCCAGAACGGGCTCCCGGAGTCTCCAACTGTGAGTTCGTCTCTAAAGCATTTGTGTCAAAATGTCATCTGGAACATTTTTGTCGCTTTATTATAGAGACATGCCAGGGGAAGGAGCCAGGATGTTATGTAACAGGAGCACTGGTTTGTCTCCGATGGCTTGTTTGGAGGGTTTAATCTGAAGAGCTTAAATGGTCACTAATGGATTAGAAAAATTATTTTTAAGATACCATTTTTGCTCTCTTCTGCATGGAATATTATTTTTTTACCACAAAAAGAAGAAAATATTCCTATTTTGAGGGAAAGATTCAGAAGCCTCATTTAAAAAACTTTATCAGCAATTTTTAAAGTTTCTTTCGTCTTTTACTATGTCTGTAGCAAATGATCATGAGTCTCTAGTTAAATTCTTCCATTTAAGGCTAAAGATATCAGAGGATAACTTGCTTTATTTTATTATTTTAATTTTAATACATTTTTATTGAACATGGTAAGATATAGGCAGGACCTTACACAGAGCGTAAATACACATTTCAAGGAATAATCACAAAGTAAATAGTAATTCCTATCCTGCCAAGAAGTAGACTGTAGTTTGTTCCTGCGACCACCATATCCCCTTCCATTTCCTACCTCCCCCTGCTCCTCCAGGTGACCATGATTCTGACTTCTGATGCGTAGACGCCATTGAATGTTTGAGAACTTTAAATTGATAGAATCATACAGTAGTCATTCAATGTGCATTCTCTTTCATTGGACTACTTTCTCTTAATATTATGCTTGTGAGATTCATCAATTTTGTTGCATGTTGCTATATATTCATTTCCATTGCTATTTAGTTTTCCATTATATTAGTTTATGCAGTTAATGTATCTGTTCTTCTGTTTGCATAGCTAGAATATTGTGGTCAGTACTGTCATGACCAGCTGCCATCCTGTGTAGCTTACTCAAGAATACAGCCTTATTAATCCTCTTCTTCGAAATTCCCCATCATCCTACATTCATGCATCATTTTTCTATCATTTAATTTTTTAAAAAATGTTCTTGATCATACATCCTCTTCCTCTTGGTATAGTCTGCTTCTTTACTTATAACCACATGCCTCGGGGTGTTGTTGAAACACTGTGTCCAGGTTGTCCCCTCCATCCTTTCCTGAGCCATTTCATTCAGGCTTTCAGCCCCCACTCCCTGCATCTCCCTCCCCATTGTCCACATTGCTTCTCCAGTGCTCTTGTGAGAGAGCCGTGTTTCCTTCTGCAGTGCTCGCTCCTGGTTTGTTTCCCTGTTTCCCCTGCACTCCTCCTCATGCCTTCCCTGGCTTCTCAGTACGGAACTGCTGCCAGGCCCAGTCCTAGACCTCTTTTCCACTCACCTCACCATCTCCTCCTAGCCATGGGAACCTCCTAACAGCTCCACTTCCAAATCCATACAAAGTCCAGCATTTCTTTTTACTTCAAGGCCATGATCCTTTCCAGGTCATCACTTTTGGGGGGATTAGTGCAATAGTCCCTTAAATGTTCCCTCTGCCTCTTTCCTTACCCTCCATCTATTTCTGCTCAAGCTGACTAGAGGAGCAAATCTATGGATATGTGAGCCATCATACTGGTTTTTGGATTCACACTCCACCTCACGCAGAGTCAAAGCCCCTCCTGAGCTCTGGAATCTCATCTCCTGTTCCTCTCGGCTTCCCCAGTCCCATTTTGGTCACCCTGGACTCCACCTGCTCCTCACATGCGATGCCACTCTCTACTCTTACTTTGGGGCCCGGGTTTTTGCTGCTCCTCATGCTGGGATGCTTTGTCCTACCACCTCCACTTGACTGCATGGGTTACTGTTTTCTTACAACTTGTAAGCATTTACTCAGCTGTCACCTTCTAAAGAGGCCCTGTGTCACATAGCTAATGTTGGAAACAACCCTCTTTACAGTCTTTATTCCTCTTTCCTCCTTTTTTTTTTCACAATCACACATATTACAGTTTACCACTTTTATTTGCTCATTTGCTTGTTGTGTGTCTCCTGCTTCTAGATTTTTAACTGTCTCCTTTACTTCTTAAGGCCTGAGGGCACTCAACAGAACTTTGACGGGGAATGAATGAGCAGTTTTCTCCTTGTCTTAACCGTGCTTCTCCCATCCAGGGTCTTGTTACTATAATTCCTGTGTTCTTTCAGCTGCTTTATTCAGCTCTTGAAAGTTATTGGAAGTCCTTACTGGAAGTTTATGGTTAAATCCAGTAATATTGGCAGTATTTGATTTTGCAGTGTGTCCTAGTTTCATCTTCTTTATCAACATGCAACAGCTGTTTATGGTTTAGTGTATTGTACCTCAGTAAAACATGTGTATTCAAGCTATGTTGAATTTTTTTACTGTGAGAACTCAGGCATGGTTATCTTGGGAACTATCTTTAAAAACATTGCAGGGGAGAGGTTATATCTTTTCTTTAAATAAGCAGGTAAAGTTGAACTTTTAGAATTATTATGTAGGTCCTTATAGCTTCATAATTCCTCTAGATAATCTAAGATCGATAGTCCGAGGGAAGAAAGGTTAATAGTCCCCAGCAGGTATTTTTTAGAAAATAAAATACAAATGTTTCTAAACACAGGAAAAGATACCTAAGTCCATTTGAAAGTAAAAGAATTGCAAATTAATATGATAAATACCATTTTTTCAGTTTTCAATTTGCTCAGTATCAATACTGAGGTTGATAAAGGAAGGAAACGGGGACTTAATGCTCTGTTAATGGGAATGTAAACTGGTGCCACATGACAGTGTGTGCTAAAACTCTAAAGACATGCTCTCATCCAACTACATATAATATTTATAGAAAGTTATCTTACAGCTCTTCCTCACAAATATAGAAAATGATGTATCCACTGCGTTGTTGTCTGAAGTAACCTATGTGTCCCTCCCAAGGGGCTGATTGACTAGTAATGGTATCTCTGTATTAGACGTCAATGAAAATAATGAGGCAACTATTTTCATACTAATACTAATATACTCTTATGAAACGACCTGCAAGACATTTTTCTAAAACAGGAAAGCATGGGACAGAGTGTCAGGGTTAGCCTCCGGGAGGTGGGGATTCTCTAAGCTTTAAGGCTAAGTTGAAAAGAACCATGAGGGGACTGTAAAGGCATTTGAACAAGCGGAGACTGAATGAGCAAAGACCAGGGAGCCAAAAGGCCTGATGAAGGGTGCATGCTGGGATGTATGGATGGAGTGGAAATTCTGCACCGGGAGCAGCAGCAAGTGAGGATGGAGAACTATGTACAGTGTTAGAAGAGCCAGCATTAAGTACTCCCTGCTGTCTAGGGAAGAAACGATGTGATCTGATTCATAGTTTGAGTTTGTGGAAGATAACCATGTGTCGGAGGCCAGAGTAAAGGCACCTTAGGGGCTTTGGGGGTAGCTCAAGGGTAAGTGAAGGTGATGATTTCAACTAGAATAGTAAACAGTGAATTCAGCATATATTTTGGAGTTCAGAAGCAACATGATTTGCTGATGGGTTTGATAGCGTATGTGAAAGAAAGACAAGGAAGACTCCTCCAAGTTTTGGCTTGAGTTATGATGCTGAGTAGTAAAATGGGGAGACATGGGGCATATTTTGAGGGCATAGTCAACAGTGTCTTCTTGACACCAGCAGTAGTGAGTTAGAGCTCTGAGCTAACATGAAATAAACTGTGTCGCTGGAAGAGAAGCTCAGCCCACCTGAGTTTTCAGGGCAGCGCCTTGGGTAAGTGCCAGAGGCCCAAAGAAGAGCCTACGTGCTTGTTCTCAGCTGTTTGTTCCTGCTTTATGTTTGCCGCAGGGGTTCTTTGAAATGAAGAAATTGCTGGCTCTTATTACTAGAAATAAAGCAATGCTAAAGATAGAGCTTTGTTTGTTGTGTGGGATTATCTTTCTGTTGTGACAGCCAAAAAGTCAAATTTTCTCTCCAAAATGACAGGGTGTTTTGAGAGGAAATAAATAGAAAACTAATGCAGTGTGAAAAGGACAGAGTATACCATAATGACAGTCTGGACAGACGGAAACATCAGGGGAAGGGAGAAAAGGAAATCAAGCATCCGCGCGTACATGAGGAGGAAGAAAGCCAGGCTTTCAGCTGGCGACCCACAGGACACTTTCCCGTGAGGTCCTCACAGGAATACCACCAGAAGCTCCTGTGCTCAGATAACTGGGAAAACCTGGTAAAATGTGGATCAGTTTCTGAACTCGGGGGGTTCTCAAAGGTCTCTAACTTGTGAATGTGCAATATGATTTACAATATAGGGAATCCGAACAGAGGTGAACCTATAAATAAAACATTAGCAAAACAGCCTGGCCCGTGTTGCTCAGTGGCTGAGCATCTATCCATGAACCAAGAGGTCACCGGTCAATTCCCAGTCAGGGCGTATGCCCAGGTTGCAGGCTTGATTCCTAGTAGGGGCTAGTAGGAGACAGCTGATCCATAATGTTTCTCTCTCATCGATGTTTCAATCTCTCTATCCCTCTCCCTTTCTTTTTCCCTAAAAATGAATTAAAATAATATTTTTTAAAATATTAGCAAACATTCTTATCTAAGAGTGGGGTCAAGAAATTAGGAGGAGCCGAAACCGATTTGGCTCAGTGGATAGAGCGTCGGCCTGTGGACTGAAGGGTCCCAAGTTCAATTCCGGTCGGGGGCATGTGCCTTGATTGCAGGCACATCCCCAGTGGAGGGTGTCCAGGTGGCAGCTGATCGATGATTCTCTCTCATCGATATTTCTAACTCTCTGTCCCTCTCTCTTCCTCTCTGTAAAAAATCAATAAAATATATTTAAAAAAGAAATTAAGGGGAGTAATATCTCCAAAGAAGGCAGAGAAAGAAGTTCCGGAAGTCTATACCTTTATCGAAGCCACTACTGCACTGGCAGGAACTGTCTGCTTTAGAACTATTTTACAACTCTGGAGTCTAGATGAATACTTGCAGGGTGGGGAAGACCTTGATTAAGAGTAAGTTTGGGGGAATTTCAGCCTTTAAATCGA